GCTCTATCTATCTATCTATCTATCTATCTATCTATCTATCTATCTATCTATCTATCTATCTATCTATCTATCTATCTATCTATCTATCTATCTATCTATCTATCTATCTATCTATCTATCTAGACTCAACACTCTGTTGGAAATGTTTCCCAAACTTCGCTCTAACACAAGCTGTCAAACCACTTTTTCTTAACTTCCTCTCCTCTCTCTTGAATTTGAATGCCGTCGCAGGCTTTTCTCAGCCCGTCTCATGTGGCTCCCCCCTTTTTCCTGTCCATCCCCAGCTGAACTGCTCCAGGGTTTTGTCTCCGGGGCGGACCCCGGCCCGCTGGCGGCTGTGTGCTGAGGCCTGGCTCCTTCCAGCTGCAAACGGGCCGTGTGTTGCATACTCCTTCAGGTGCTCCTCCAGTGCCTGAGCACCGTGTGTGTGTGTGTGCATGTGTGTGTGTGTGTGTGTGTGCGCTGCTATCTCTGACACAGCTGGATTAAGCAATGCAATGCATATTTAATCGTGCATGCAATCATCTCCCAACCACCTCTGTGCTTCCCCCTGCCGCCCTTTTCTTTTTTTCTTTGTCTCTCCTCTCCAGCATGAGCGGAGGAGACGCAGACTTTCTGCGGACCGCTTCGCAGCTCGGATGCGAGGTCCACCGTTTCGATCCCGGCAAGTCCGAGGCATCCGGTGGTCGCCCTGGCAACGGTTTGGCGGGTAACCATGGCGACGGAGGTGGTGTCATCCAGCACAAGACGTGGTTGGAGTGGCGAGCTCCAAAGAGGCGCAGGCCGAGGGCAAGAGGCGACCTGGGCAGCGTTTCTCAAACGCTGGCAGATATCATGGCTGCTCTGGGACATCGTACAGTAAGAAACACACACCTGTCAGAGCACACAGACTCACAAAGACACACAAAGACTCACACAGACTCACACAGACACACATAGACTCACACAGAAATGTTGAGAAACACAGCCAAACAAACATACCTTGGAGTCTTTTTACCTCAGCATACCCAGAAAGCTCTTTCACTTGGCCGTTACCATAGCAACAGGGCTCTGCGCCATCTCTGGCTGCCATGGCAACAGTTAAAGTGAGTGAATCACTCAGTGGCCCAGTTATGTTTGGCAGCCACAAGAGGGAGTTGCACACCCAGCTTTGGCTAAAAACATCCATTTAATGAATAATTTTCAAAAAGTTTAATTTGATTTTGAAATGTTGTGCTCATTAGAGCAGGGTGGTTGTGAGGCCGCCTAATACAAACAAGTCCTCATCTCAAAGTAATTACTTCTTATGCAGCCAGTTTGCCAGTTCCAACAAACCTTTCCCTTGTGTGAGGGTGTTTTACTGAAAGCAAAACTGTTTCATTTTCAGCTTAGTGCTTTAGCAGTGATTCATATTTACCTTTACCTTTTCTATAATCTCTATTTTCTTTAGGTTCACTTTCTCTATGCTGACCTCCTAAGTGCTGAGTGGAGAGTTTTCCAGAACTGGATTGAGGTGGGAACTCTACAAAACATCCATCATCTGGTTGCTACGGTGCACCTGCAGTGGGCCGGGTTTGAGGTGGGAGGAACCAATGAGGAAGTGCTTCGCTTTTGGTTCAGCGTCCTTCGGGCTGTTCAGGTTTTCGGATTCAAGCTGGTTCACAGCTCTGCAGGGGAGGGTCACAGTGTCCTGAAACAGACAGCAGCCAGCGCTCACAGCTCCTACACACTCAGCTGGGTCAACACACAACACTGACGCGCACACCTGAACGTTTTTAGAGCCGTGCGTGCTGCTGTGGATGAAAAAAAAAAGGAGAAAAAAAGAGAGTCAGGTGAATCTTCTTAGCTTTTCTCTCAGGGCATTCAGCACAAATCCATTTTCCAAATGATGTCGCCCCCTAGCGGACATTGAACAGTTTGCATCCTTCAATCCTTCACAGTGGTGTTCATACATGCAGAGAAAATGGACAGTTTGACCAAATACGAGAACAAAATGTAATTTTTAAATAGTTGATGAACAAAAAATAAAAAATAGCAAACCAACAGATCTTAATTTATACTGAAACCATGCTTGAAATGTAAGAAAAATCAGACTACTAAAAAATCAGTTTGATTCTTTTTCCTTTGACCTTCCCGACTATGTTAATTTTGTTTGATCAAAATCAATGCTGTCAGATTAATCCGCATGTGGTAGTTTTACAAATATCTGTTTGTTACTTGTTCCACAACAATGGATTATTATGTGACTGTTTTGTAGACATTCAATAATTTCAAGGGACTTCAGAAATATATATTTGCTCGACTGGGTGTTAATTTACCCTTTTAAAAATTGAATAATTGTTTACGTAACACAATTTTTGGATGAACCATTAGCTCCAGATCCTTTATGTTCTAGCAATGTTGTTGTTATCCAGAGTCTTAATCTCAATCAGGACAAAAATAGTGTGAATGTTGAAATATCTGTGTTACTGTTAGCATCCATGTCAGTATCATCCATTGCAAAAGGGAATTTAGAGTATATACACTACATATTACAACAAACAAATTATTTCAAAATGCTGAAAAAGGAAAGTGTATGAAATTACTGTGAAACTGAAAGTGGACATGGGGATTATAGCCAGGACATTAAATACTGTTGATATGTGCTTAATTTATCATCCTTTATGCATGCTGAAGCTAAAGAAATGACTCCAAAGGACGCTTAATTGTTTTTAACAAAAATAAAATAAACTTATTGTCAAACATTGCTTGCCATAAGCTGTTTGTTTGAAGCTGCCTTGCTGCAAGATTCATGTTTTAGTGCATTAAGGTGGGTTGTTCTCTTTTAAAGCTCGGAAACTTCCAGCACAAATGGACCGAGGAAGCGTTTAGGATTCACGGACCAATCCGCCATCTATCATCTTGAGTGTTTTTCTGTACAGTACCCTCCTCCTGCTGCTCGATGCCAGTCATTCCTCGGACGCGCTCCAACTCGCCGGAGCGCACGTCGGAATGCGGCGCTTCCTCCGCCCCGACTTACGAAAATTGCGGCCAGATGTTCGCCACTAGTTTGGGTGGAGTTGCGCTTTTTACGTTGAAATTTCCACATCCTGTTCTCAGCTAAGTCAGCCGACAGGCCTCTCAGCCAATGGTGTTTGAGAGAAGCCGACTCTCAGCCAATCAGAAGTTCCCATTCCCGGGCCCCTCTCGGGTTCTGTAGTTCGACCGTTTACTGTACAGCTCAACAGTTCTTCAGAAAACCAACGGACAGAATAACTACCCGCCGGTATTGGGAGAGACTAAAGCGGCACATTTTAGCGGTAGGTAAACCGTGTTTGGGCAGTGTTGTTTCCACTAAGAGACGGGTGTGTGTGTTTACGCTCATTTTGGGTGTTTCTTCGAGATAAGCGGCGCCTACGAAGTACTTCCTGCTCCGACAAGGCCGAAATCCCAAATCACACTTAGCTTGTTTTCGTTCAACTAACAGCTTGAAAACCTAAACTAAATATTATCTCGCCGGCCTAGTCGATATTGACGTTTGGGAATGTGTTAAAATGTGACATATTCACGTGATAAAACCTCTCAGGCGTGGTTAGCAGAAGGCAGAGAAGCAGGCTGTCACTTTCGAGCTGCTGACAACCGATAAGTTCATTTAATGAGGAACTTCAGTCAGCCACCGCGGATTTGCTCATAGCAGCGAGCCAGACGACGCGTTAGAAAGTTTGATTCACCTCTTCTGAAACACGAAAAACGTGTAATTAGGCACGTGAAGTGGTCAACAACCCGCGAAAAGAGCCTCAGCCCCTGGAGGAAGCTGTCATTTTCTGAGCTCAGCCCCAGGCAGGTAGTTACAGCCTAATGTGAGAGCTGACACCAGCTAGCTAGTTTGATTTATACATGGGGTTCTTTGTCATAGTTATATTAAATAGGGGAAATGCTCTTCTCTGTGTTATTTTTAACTTCTTAAGTTATGCTCGCACCATCGGTTTTGGGTGGATGTTGCTGTGATTACGCAAAGATAAAGTTTTGGTTCTGCTTTAGCTCTGCCCTTTTTTTTATTTTTGTTTGTCTTGTCTTTAAATACATGGCTGTACACCCAAGTGTTATGGGATCCAGCTACAAATGTGATGTTTAGCAGAAAGGCGTCATTTCACATTTTCTGTCAAAAACATCACTGAAAATGATCATTTTGATCAATCTTTGAAATGCAGATATACCGAAATGCCAATTTCAGCACATTATACCTAGGCATGGCATCCCAGATGTACTCTGTGTGTGTTTTTGATTGAATATCACTCATCAATGTCCAATTAGTTGTTTTCAGATGAACCAGACTGATAAAAAGCCATTTTGAGAGACTGGAGGCTTCAGAACAACTTCTTTGACTATCCATGGATGTATATTTAGTCCAAGCTCCCTTTTGTCTTATATTTAGGAAAAAGAATTTGCACAGACATAGAAAAAATGAATAAACGTTAAAAGAATTGTCAGCCTCTGATGAAATAGTCGATTAACAAGGAAGCATGAGATCTGAAACACGCTCTCATCCATCAGTCTTATAAATAAATCCCTCTATATGTGCATTTTTTTTCAATTGACCCCTGTTTCTGTCCCTAAGGGTTGGGCTACCCTCCCCACCACACCTGACTATGCCGTTGGTGACGAGGAACATAGAGCCGCGACATGTGTGTCGCCAGACCATCCCGGCCAGCATCCGCAGCGAGCTGGAGTGCGTCACCAACATCAGCCTGGCCAACATCATCCGGCAGCTGGGCAGCCTCAGTGAGTCGCAGGCCGCTCCAACACACCAAAGATGTGTTTTTAAGCCATTTACAACCTGCTCCAACTTTGTTAAACGATCGTAGAAAAGTAAAGATTCTGTTTCTCTGTTTTTGCGCGAAGGCAAATATGCGGAGGACGTGTTCGGGGAGTTGTTTATCCAGGCTGGGGCTTTTGCCACAAGAGTCAATACGCTCGGGGAAAGAGTGGATCGCCTGCAGGTTAAAGTCACCCAGCTGGACCCCAAAGAAGAAGAGGGTGAGTTCCCCCACTTATTTATGTCCCTTACCACTGCAAGCCTTAGTGTCTCGATAGTTATAGATAGACTCTGACTCCATTTATTTATTCCTTGAGATGGCAATAAACATTCAGTAACCCCCCCCCCCTCCTGCTGGTGTGTCAGTCTCCCTGCAGGCCATCACCACCCGTAAGGCTTTCCGCAGCAGTGCCACCCAGGACCAGCAGCTCTTCACCCGCCCGTCGCTGCCCATGCCCGTACAGGACACCTACGTCACCTGCAACCCGCCGCCCCCCCTCAACCAGCTCAGCCAGTACCGGTAGGCCGGAGCGGCCACAAACACACAGCCACACACACACATGAAACACCCGGGGGCCTTTTGTGAATGCACATGAACACAGTCTGTAAACACTGTTTGAGCTCATGTCTGACAGACAAAAAGCCCACCATCACAAATCTGTAATAGCTTGTGTGTGTTGGTCTTGGTTCAAAGAACCCTGATAGATATCAATGACACGATCTGGCTTAATACATGAGTAAGTTTAATTTTGTGTACACATTTTAAAATGTGGGGCTGATAAAGGTCTGCTCACTCACACTTTATGTCTGACTCTGTGTGTGACTAATGGCTGTAAATGGTTCTCTGTAGTGAGGATGGGAGGGAAGCCCTGAAGTTTTACACTGATCCCTCCTACTTCTTTGACCTGTGGAAGGAGAAGATGCTGCAGGACACCAAAGACATCATGAAGGAGAAACGCAAGCACAGAGTGAGGCTCATGAGCACCTCACGCACAAAAAGATGACTAACAGCAGGCCTGTGTGAATATGTTATCCACATCCGGCTAAATATCGCTGCTTTTTGTCTGCACCGTGTCCTGCGTGAGTAGAAGGAGAAGAAGGACCACCTGAACCAGAGGACTCTCAATCCTCGAAAAATCAAGACCAGGAAGGAGGAATGGGAACGGCGCAAGATGGGAGAAGAGTTTGTCGAGCCAAAGAATGAACTGTGAGTAAAGAGAAGGGAACTTACAGCAGCTCACAGTCATGAGACTGAATCTGTAGACTACTAGATAAAAAGGATTTACAATAAGAACTAATCATTATGCAACACTATTATATAGTTAGATAATAATAACACTGCTATTATTTGTGGGAGCCATTGGAGCACTTAAATTAAGATAACATTTTTATTTTATTTTAAGAGCCAGTTAACTAAAATTCCATTGGTTAGACATAATATGAATAACTTAGAAATACAGAAAGAATTCATAGCAGGGACAAAAATTCCAATAAAACTTTGTATTTTGGCCAGGAAGAACCACTTCCACTGTTAGTTTTCTAAACATCTATTCATCCAGCTGTGCTGTGGCATGGACATTTGGGCTTTGGTAATCATTCAGTCCCACTCAGCAGGTGTGAGGACGCTGGAAAAAATAACTAAAACCGGCTCAGTCAGCAGTGTGTGAACTTCGACCTGCTGAACTCATCACTTCTGTCTAGTTTACATAGCGAAATCAGGAGCTAGCTTGATAGATCCTACAGCTCCCCCTCCTTATCAGCGTGTCTGTGCACATGTGGGTGGTACGTCCTGTCTGGGAACGCTCTCGGGGGGTTGGGTGTGGAGCTGCCTGGGACTGGAAAACATCAGTAAACAAATTATCTTTAAGCCTCCTCACATTTTAATGTGGTTTGTGATGTCAAATTACAGATTACTTTAGATTAAACAGTGTTAAAATATTATTTCTGGGGAAAAAAATACAAAGATTTGTCACAGTGGCAACATTATGGCTTTTTATTGTTTTTTATTGTTTTTTTTGTTATGTTTATTATGCAAAGTTCTATTGGATTAGCAGAGAAATATTAGAACATTTTGAGACCATCACAAAAAACTATTTCTATGTACAAACTGATATCATAACAACAAAAATATTGGATTAAATTAATTAATATAATTTTTATTAAATGGCTTTTAATTTTTTTAGAATATCAACTTTCAAACAACAATCATTAATTATTCTGAATTTTATTGAAAATTATTAGTAATATTTAGTAAATTTGAGTTAATTAAAACTCAGGGGTTTTCTGCTGTTATTCTGAGGATCAGACCATTTACTTCCCGTGTTTTTTTATCTGTAATAAAAGGTCAAATACTGTGAGAGTAATTTGTCCTCGGCTTTACAGAGATTTAGGATGCATCCGGTTCCAAAGCTTTCACTTCTGGTCTGGTCCGGGTGGCTTTTCTGGTCAGATCCACCCTATTTTGGGCTGATGGGGGTGTTTTTCTCTCTCTCTCTGTCAGGAACTCCTCTGAGGGTCTGAACGGCAGCATCGGGTCGGGGGAGGGCTTCCCCTCCGACGGTCTGGAGCTGAGCACCGGCTCCTACGCGTACGACCCCGGC